AATTACTTAGTAAAAGATCCTGAAGTAATTAAGTTGTTCAATATGTTAAAACCTGAATATCAACTTCCATTATCGCAAATGGATTAGTACGTATATGATAATGTGCAACATGGTGTAACATGTGATAAAGATAAGAGAAAGAAGAATTAATAATTCGATTGTTTGTTGATCATTTTTTATGAATAAATTCTACACTTATAGTGGTGGGACTTAAAAATTAAAAATTCAAATATCATATCCGTGATCAGTTGAAAAATATCATTCTTTATAAATTATTAAATGAACTCAATTGTCGATAAATTAAAATTCCATTTACGAAAATTAACAACACAGTAAATACGCATTACTCTAGTTCATTGTCAAGGAATGCTCAATAATATATAAGACACGTGATGTAATGCCTAAAAATAGTACGTAAAATATTCTGATTGGTGAAAAAACGCATCACAGCGTGTATACTGTCTTTTGCCCGATAATTAACCTTGATAAGCATGAAACCAAAAAAATTGGTACTTTAAGCATTAATGTAATTTATATTAACTTATAATAGAAAATATCTTGTTGCTTATTCCGTATTCTCTTTTATAAAGAAAATTCGATTATTACATTCGTCTTTGTAAATAAGAAAAATGATTAATGTCAAAATTCTTTATACTTTACTGCGAAAGGTATTTTGTCCGAATGGTGGATTAATTTTTTTCGTACTATAATTGAATTCTTATGCAGAACCATATTATTGCCATTTCTGAGTTGATATATTTTTACTAAGAATTCTTTTATTCCTTTTATTAAATTCTTTGGATTATACATTGTATCATTAACTGCCTTATCTGTTTTTGTTTTTACAAAATTATTACTAAATTAGAATTCTATACACGAAAATATCTAAAAATAATACAGAAATATGTTTTTCAAGTGATGTCCAAGAATACTGTAAGATATTTCTAGATGAAACAATGTAAATTGTTGTCTTAATCAAAATTCAAAACATGAACTAACAGTTTTAGTAAATCAACAATTATATTAAAAAAATGATCTTGAAAGCATTGTTATACAATTATTATACATTTTTAATTGAATTCAATATAATTAAATCAATTTTATTAATTTAGTTAAATAGTTCTTTTATGAAATATAAATGTATCTTGATATACTATTTAACTAAGAAAACAGGATGCGATTCATTCAATTATTTATTTATAAAACTTAAGTTTAAACCAGTTTTTACAATAAAATAAACTAAAAAAAAACAACTAAGTGATCGATAAGCTTATAAAAAAGATAATATTAGTTTGATTTATAAAATAACTACTAATCCAGATAAGAATGCAAGATATAAAATTTCACTAGATATGTAACTGAATTTAGTTAATTTATCATCCATACTAATATTTTTAATTGATTTAAATTAAATATAAAAATTAAATTGGAACTATCACTAAATATAATTTTATAAAAACCACATACAATACAAAAAAAAAATTTTTTAAAGCGAGCAGATTTATATACTGCAGACTTCTAGACACTCCAATTGAAACATTCTTTCCTGACGGTTAGTAAAACGAGGCAGTTGATTTGAAGTTGCTAAAAATAGTATGCTAGTGCTTTCATATTTGCAGAATATTTTAGATAAGAAAAATTGTACTAACAAGAGAAATTAAGCCAAAGCCAAAGCGGCTAGTAGCACATTCTGGAAAAACAGCGCAAGAAATTTTGGATGAGATAAAAAATGCAAAAAGAGAAGTCATATACAAAGAAGCTTTAAATTATATGACAAAGAACGGATCTACTCTTAAATTTAAAGATAGGACAGAGGTGTGTACTTTTTGCAAAAAAAGTTGAAATAATCACTTTGATCAAAGTTTTGCTAAAAATGTTAGCGCAGCTTCTATTTGTTCTGTTTGATAGGCGTTTTAATTTTTTTTAAAACTTCTGTTATAAAGTTTTTAACTTTAAATTTATAATATATAATTTGTAATTTTAAAGAAGTATTTTTATTAATAAATTAGTAAAACAAAATTTACAAAAAAATGTGATAGTGATATGATTGTTATTATATAAAAGTATTTTTACGAATTACAAACCTTTAAAATGTTCTAATTCTATTTTAGCAAAGCAAATTCAATTTTGTAACTTGCAAATGATAAACAAATAGTGTAGTTTTATACTATTTTCTAATTGATTTGACTCCAAAATATCTTCCTATAAGCTGGTTGCATGTTTTTTTCTTGATAATAAAATGATATAGTTATATATATCATGCATTGATTAAAATTTGCATCAGATCAAAATTAAATATGAAATTTTATTAAGGTATTAGCGGAATTATAATGATCGAAATAACGCTCAGAGTGTAGTTTAATATTTTGGCCTACATTAAGATTAATTTGGTCTAAATTAAGCTTAATATAGGCAGTTATCTTGAAGCTAGCTTATAAAAGCATAAACACTATTATAAGTTAGTTTTGACGCTTTAAGCCTGAATTTGGCATTATTTTATAATCAATAACTCTCTTATTTTAGTACAAAAAAAGTCTCATCAATAATTTCATTTTCCTATGGCATCAAGAGGCTGTCGAATAAAGAAGCAAGATTTTAAGTGGTATTTATATAGGGTTGCAAAGACTAGAATACAATTTATATTAACTATTAGTTTATGGATCACACATATGGTCAATGACATTATTTAGTTTCTATCGCATTGTGCAAAAGTTATATTTTTGATTTATTCATTATCAAAAATTAAAAAGGTAACTTTGAACTTCTGTCATGTGCATAACAGAAAGTTCAAAGCTCTGGAATTATGGACTCATAGTTGAGGATTATTGTGACCACAATTGGCAATTAATTATTATAATAAAAACACACAGGCTCCATAATGGAGCTCATCTGTTTATTAATTCACGAATATACTGAACTCAAATTAGAATATTTTTTTTATATTAATTTTTATAAGAAAACATGCTAATATCATATGATTGGTATTTAAATGTCATGTGACATCAGTGACTTTATTTAACGAGGCATCAATAATTAAATAATTGTGCATAATATTAAGAAATAAATCGCATTTTTTTTCTATTAAATTGCATGATACAAATATAATCCTTTGCAAGAAACAGTAACTTTTATGTAATAAAAAATTAAAATAGATTTGACGCCTGTGTTTTAGCATGATACATCTTCGTGACAAAGTATAATAGAATTAACTTCTTTCATAAAAGTTCCAAAATCAGAAGATGCAAAAAAAATTACGATCAAATTCCTAATTCAAAACTTATCAATGAACTTTTCCATTTACCTTGTAAAAGTAAATATGCATTAGCATTAGTTTTAAATTTAGCAATGTAAATTGGAATAATGATATTGATAATAGAGATATTATTAATAATACTTTTCCCCTGCAAAATAACTGTGCAGAAAGTATTCAACCATTTGGTGACTGGATATACGTAAACATAATTCTGTACAGTATCTTAATTTTGGTGACAAATAATATAAAATTCTTTTAATTTTAATGGTCACTAAAAATAGAATTATTTATTACCGAAATTAGAATTTAAATATAATTATAATCGAAATCAAATAAGGATAACCAAGCTGTTACTGAAGATATTATCTCTGAAAAAATCAAAGTATAAAAGAGATCTGATAGCCTTAAATTATGAAGATGTATCATTAGAAATGAATCAAGACCAAATTCTCACTGCTAAAATAATAAATATAACTCAAATGTTGAACTTTAACAACAAAATTCAAACCCTCACTGAGAAAAAAAATTATTTACAAAATGAAACCGAGTATTTAAGAGTTGAAATTAAAGAAATTTACAAAAATTTAGACATTGCACAAAATAATGAAAAATATTTCGATGAAATTAATGATAATATTCTTATTTTACAAAATGATATAAAATATGTCTTTAATAAATTTAACCAAACATACAAAATTATACGTCTTACTGAAACTCTTGTTAAACTTTCATTCTTTTAATAAATGTTAATTTGACAATGCAAGATATATTATTTTTATTGGTGATTAGATTATTATTTGCCAAAATAATATTTGGATAAATAAGACAATGTCTTTAAAATAACACTGGTTTTTGATATCCAGAAAAAAGCTGTTAGCTTCACGAAATAAGCCGGCACAATTTAATTTTTATATTTTCCTTTTTTTATTATTTTTATTATTATTTTTTTTACTTTTTTATTATTTTAATTATATTATTTTTTACTTTTTTGTTTATTTTTGTAATCGTCTATTGTGCAAAAAATTTTCATCTAAATTACAAAAAAAAACAATTTTATATTGTTTAAAAAATATAATGATATAACTAATAAAAGTTGGGCTCAACTCGTAAAAGTTGAGCTCAACTAATAAAAGTTAAGCTCAACTCATAAAAGTTAAGCTCAACTAATAAAAGTTGGGTTCAACTTGTAAAAGTTGAGCTTGACTAATAAAAGTTGTGCTCAAATCGTAAAAGTTGAGCTCAACTAATGAAGTTGGGCTCAACTTGTAAAAGTTGAGCTCAACTAACAAAAGTTGAGCTCAACTAATAATAGTTAGGCTCAACTCATAAAAGTTGAGCTCAACTAATAAAAGTTGGGTTCAACTTGTAAAAGTTGAGCTCGACTAATAAAAGTTGGGCTCAACTCGTAAAAGTTGAGCTCAACTAATAAAAGTTAGATTCAACTCGTAAAAGTTAAGCTCGACTAATAAAAGTTGGGCTCAAATCATAAAAGTTGAGCTCGACTAATAAAAGTTGGGCTCAAATCGTAAAAGTTAAGCTCAACTAATAAAGTTGGGCTCAACTCGTAAAAGTTGAGCTCATCTAGTAAAAGTCAACTAGTAAAGTTTAAACTTAAATAATAAAATTTTTTGTTAGAGCTTAAAGTTTTTATAATTCTTACAAACATCTTAAGAGAAAAATTATTTATTTACAAGGAAAAATGATTATTTCTAATCGTATTCAAATTCATATCTATCCTTAACTGCGATCAAAAATCTATTAGAGGTTCAGATTTTGATTTATAAATAGACATTAATGAAATCACCACACTACTAAATGTTTCATCCACTTTAATGACTTTGATAGCTTTACTTCTAGCGTTTACAAATTCATTAACAGTACTCACACCAACTTTCTTATCTAATAATTGTTTGAATTTACGATCTTTTTTGAT